CAATGGCTCAAATGTGGCCCACTGAAACCTCCACCTCCTAGGTTCAAGGGATTCTCCTGGCTCAGCCTCCCGAGTAGCAGGAGGCTGGGATTACAGGTGCCTACCACCAAACCTGAATAATTTTAGGGTTTTTAGTAGAGATGGGTTTTCACCATGTTGGTCAGGCTGATCTCAAACTCTTGACCTCAGGTCATCCACCCACCTCAGCCTCCCAAAGTGTTGAGATTACAAGCGTGAGCCACCACGCCCAGATGAGACTGTGTAATTTATGAAGAAAATAAGTTTAATTGGCTCATGGTTTCATGGGCTGTACGGAAGCATGACAGCTTCTATTCATATTCTGGGGACACCTCAGGAAACTTTCATTTATGGTGGAAGGCAAATGGAAGCCGGCACTTTACATAGCCAGAGAAAGAGGAAGAAAAGAGAGGGCAAAGTGCCATACACTTTGAAACCAGATTTCATGAGAACTCCATCACAGGAACAGTACCAAAGGGAAAAATCTTCCACCATGACCAAACCACCTCCCACCATGACCCATATCCAACATTGGGGATTACAACTGAACGTGAGATTGGTGGGGTCATGTATCCAAACCATGTTATTTGGGGAATGTAAGAAATAACTAATGATGATGATGGGAGCTAAAGATTTTAGGGTCTTTCAAAAAAAAATAAATAAAAGCAACACTTACCAAGTAATCTCAAATAGATTAGTTTTAATGAGAAAATGTCATATTAATTTTCCACTTTGAAGGAATACATAACACATAAATATTTGTTGAATGTTATTTATATGTTACCTACTAAAAGGGGAGGAAACTGAAACTCAACAAAGCTGAACATTATACCATTAATGTGATCTGAGATGGTTAATCTCAGGTATTATACACCATACCATGTCACCATGTTGTATTCATATTTAGTCTTTTTCTCTCTAAGGGAAGTGATCTCATTTTTGTCATTCTTCACTCTTTGGATAAGTCCTCATTAACACACACCACACACACCTCCAACTATCTGACAATTCCTAGTCTTAGAAAATTCTGTGAACTCTGTGATCCCCAAGTAATGCAGAATCAAACTGAGGTTATTAAATGACAAGGGGACTGTGGGCTATTTAAGTTTTAAAAATCTGAAATACATCTTAGTCTTTCTTTCTTTTCTTTTGCAAGAAAAAGAAAAGAAACCCCCAAATTTAAGGTGTTTTCTTGGTATTATTTTTGTGATTTTGAAGGGCTAAGATTCATAGTTTAGGTCATAAATAAATATTTTAAAAGGATGCCCTTGATGTTTCTTAAAATACTAGTGGTCATGTCTATGATTTAACGTGACTCTTGATATCCTACATAATTTATATGACTATATGTACTTGAGAAGAAATGCTAATATAATCTAGTAACTCTTTATTCTCTTAACAAGGTATGCTATTCCATAGCTCTTTAGCTTTTTGGTAGGGTAAAACTCAAAGAGTCAACTCACATAATATTAAAAAAAAACCTCATTAAATGAAATGTAACATTTTGAGATGCATAATTTTTAAATGAAACCACCGTGTATTATAGTGAGATAATTAAATATTTTATGTTTTACCTGAACTTAGAGGATAAAATGTTTATATATACATACACAGTATATACAGCCACTATTTTATCATGCATAAAAGTGGATGGACTATCAAAATGCTTTGTTTCAGTACTATGTGAATATAATGAAGACTTATGGTTTTTTAAATTTTGATAACTTTTAGGCAACAATAAATATGAACACATAGATTACATTTTGTGTTTGTAGAGTATTAAATATGTAAGCAACATCTGTGAAGTGTAGAATAATTTCCATCTACAAAAGGGAAATGTTGTAACACATATTTAGTTTATAATCTTGTGTTAAGAACTCTCATCTCATTCTTTTAATTCCGTATTCCACAGATGTTCATTAGACACCTACCATGACATGTTAACAAAATTTCTTCATGGGTGAATTGAATACACTTAGAGGCAACACATTTTTTTGAAAGTCTGAGTATAATCTGGCTTCTTGTGAGTATACATGTAACTCATATTTATTAATGATTGTTTACTCTAAAAATATTCAGACCAATTTAGCAGGCTTTATGTCTGAGGCTTGAAGAGCTTGCTCTGGGATCCTTCTTTTCTCAGCCTCTCTAATTGAGGGCACCTTCACACTTTCAGGGCGCTGAGAAGAACCTAAAAACAAAACAAAATGAAAACTTAATGGGTCATAATTATAATGAAATAAAATGAAAAACTGAATACACTGCAAAGTCTCAAAATGAAAAACTTAATATTTGAACTAAATCCATTATGAGATAATCAATATTAATGTGGAAAGGAATGCATCTGATTGATATAAAATGTAGAACACTTGCAGTGTAATGTTAAGCAGTTACATTGCAAAGACAAGTCTCAAATTTTACAACTTCATTGAGAAATCAGTCAACTTTCCATAAGCAATTAAAAACTAATTTTTCTGATCCTGGTTAATTGTTTCTTTTTCATTAAATTTGTTAAATGGGGATCACTAAAAATAAGGTCTCACAAGATGGTGTGCATATTGCTTTACATTTCAAACTTCCATATGGCAGATTGTCTTTCCCCTGTGAACTGGGAAGAATAGATAGTATTATTTTTATTTTATAAATGATGACATTCAGAGAGGCTAAGTGATTAGCTGTGTCATTCCAACGAATAATAGACTGGAAATCAAAATTAATATTCTCATGAAGGAAATATATATATATATATATATGTGTGTGTGTGTGTGTGTGTGTGTGTGTGTGTGTGTGTTTGTGTGTGTGTGTGTGTGCATGTGCACTCGTACATGTGCATTTCTTAAATCACAAGACTAACAAAATCAAATTTTATTTTAAAAATTGAAATGTGGTATGGGAAGTATTATGTGCAAATGTATAAAACATTGTCACACATTATACGTTCAATCCCAGATTGTGTGCCTTAGGAGCCTGTGGCATTGACATTTAATGTCTCCAAAACTATCATGTATAAAATGCAACTAATGATATCTGCCCTATGTTAGTGATAGTTAAATTCTATGTGTCAGAGCCTGTGAGGATTACATTAGTTTTAGCTAATCATTCATTTATGCATTTATTCATGTAACAAACATTTATTAAGTACGTCCAATGTACAACATTTGTGTAGATGTTGGAGATAAATTAATGGAGCTATGCTGCATGAAGAAGAAATGTATAAATCATAAACAATATTACAAACATATATAACACAATAATTAATAATATCAGACAATTATAAATATGTTGCATTGGTTGGACTAGAAGCTGAGGATTGCTGCAGTATTCTAAGCATAAAGTGAGAAGGGCCTCTACTGGAAAGATGCTGCTAGGAATGGAGAAACCTTCATATATATAAGTAACATATTTTAAGTAAGAGAGATCAGGTTTCTCCCTCCAAGTAGAAAGGAATAGAGAAAAAAAGAGCTGATGAAAGTCAGCTAGATTTAAAACCTAAGATAATGGCAAAATGGCAATCAGAACACTAAGGGGTGGGAAATATTAGAGGAACAGTGACAATTTCAGTTTTGATCAGGTTGATTTTGAGGTGACTGATACATTCAAGATGAAAGAAAATTCAAAACTGGAATTTAGATGAAAGGGTAGTCCATAGAATTGGAGTTAACAGCACTTGGGTATGAGGAAAAACATTCAAGATGAAAGAGGATTCAAAACTGGAAATTAGATGAAAGGGTATTGCGTATTGCATAGATTCTGAATTAGCAGCACTTGGGTATGAGGAAAAACTCGGTATCTGATTAAATGGTGAAAAGACCAAAGTCTGAGCTTAAAACAATACTGATACTAGAATGCAGAATGGGCAACGCAAAAATGAAAAAAAAAAGTAGCAATATCCCAGAAAACTATTAAGGAAAGAATAGAACCTTTGTGACCATTAAAATCTTGGCAAAATTAGCAAAACATCTTGCAAACAGCCAAGAATGAATACTGAAGAGAAAGTGTCTTAATTTAATAATAAGCAGATACTTTGTGACATTTGATATGGTAGTTTCAGAAAACTTGTGTCAAGAAAGAATGGTTGGAGAGGAGATAGGGAAAGCAGATGTTGCACTGCAAAATGGTGTGAAGGAACTGTAAGATGGAGCTATTCAAATGAGGAATTAGTAAAATCCATGATGGCCAAAGAGAAGAGATGGAAACCAAAGGAGAATATAAGAGTTTCCAGAGGAAGAAATTCTCTTAAGATAGGATGAAGCAGATTTTAAAGCTCAGCTAAAGCCAGATGACTCTTAAGATTCTGAAGGAAAGCATGGAGGGTTATATCTTAGCAAATAGGGAGTTGAAGTTTTGGGGAGCAACAAAGAATGTCCAGACAAATGGAAGGCAAAGTTCATCTTTATTACTAATAAAAGTTAGATTAGATGTCTTGGGGACATTGTTTAGAATGACAGGAAAAGCAAGCTTCTCTGACCTGACCTGTCTCAGCCACAGCTGAACAATTCCAGTCTTTCTCTTCTCACGGCTACCCTGGGTTGCTCCAGTGATTTTACCAAAGGTAGATCAGTATACCTTCATCATTCTTAGCAACATAGAAATGTGATTTATATATATTTAATGAAATATCTATACATTTTACATAAAATATTTTGATGCACCTCACTTATTTTTTAATTGCATAAATCATATTGACCACTTACATCTATTTTTAATGACATATCTCCCCAACTTCCAAAATCTTTATCACTAACATCTTTTTTTTGAGATGGAGTCTTGCTCTGTCACCCAGGCTGGAGTGCAGTGGTACAATCTCAGCTCACTGTAACCTCCTGCTCCTAGGTTCAAGCGATTCTCTTGCCTCAGCAAGAGGCTACAATTATTAAATAATTATAATACATTCTAACCTTATGCAAAATATTTTATTATAGTTGTCTGTACTGGAACTACAGGAGTGTGACACCACACCCAGCTAATTCTTTGTATTTTTAGTAGACACAGGTTTCACTGTGTTAGCCAGAATGATTTTGATCTCCTCACCTCGTGGTCCGCCCCCTTGGGATTACAGGCTTGAGCCACTATGCCCGGCCTATCACTAACATCTTTATTTATCTTAGAATGATAGTATCAGGATATCTTGAAGGATTCAGCCAAATATATTTCAGCAACATATTCAACAACATTATGTTAAACATGAAAAACATGAAAATCACATATATCGAGAGACTAAATGGAACAGAAAATCAAGATACTGATAATACAGAAGGGTAGTTGTTCCTAGAATGGAAACAGCTGAGACTGGAAATGGAGCAACTAGGTAGATGTCATGGTGTTAACATACCTTAATATACATACTGAGCTCATTTATGAGCAGCAGTAAACCTGTATGATGTAGTCTGTAAGAAAGATGATACAGAGATATAGAGTAAAATGATTTAGAAAATAACAAAGAATAAGTTATAAAGTAATAATTATCACATGAAAACTGACTTTCATATTTTATCCAGCACATTGAAATGCACAAGGTTCTGTTCCAAATATAAAGCTTGCTAAATAATTTTTTTTTCAAATTTATAGGCAAAATGAGAAAACAATTTGGTAAGTCCTCATTTCAGAAAGTTTATGTCACTGACATGAAAACACATCAGTAAATGCAGTGTTAACAATTTAATCGAGTAATTAGCCTGTCATCATGACTCCTGGGTAATGTCAAGCTGTTTACAACTAATGTAATTTGTGTTAGAATAAAAACTATCCATTGGACATTTTTCATTTCACCTTATACAAAATATTTTATTATAGTTGACAAATTTCCAAAAAGAGATTATAATGAAAGTAGTTATTCTAGCAGTAACTGTTCAGGTAAATGACTCATGTAAATATTTTCTTCTCAATCTTTGAATAGAATCCCAATCAGGAGTATTGGGATTACACATAATCCAATATACTTCTAGCTCTATCATTATGTATTTATGTCAGAGTGAACATTATTTCATACTGGTTGGTCCCAATTTTCTCACCTCCTGTCCTTAGCTTTGAACCAACCAAGTTATTGTAGGTTGAGTTTATTGCTTGTCAGGACAGATAACTATAATAAAATATTTTGCATAAGGTTAGAATGTATTATAATTGTTTAATAAAAATAACTGATTAAAATGCAGTAATATTTTTCAGAAAGAGAAGGATGATTTTGAGGATGGGATTCAGTCATGAGAGTTGCATGAGTTTGGAAGCAGAAGTACCATAAAATATTAAATAAAGGAGGCTCTTAAATGTTAAGTTGAAGAGTGTGAATATGTTTAATATCTGTACAGTATGGAAGGCAGCTTCCCTCACTGAGTGAATATAAAGGTCTTATTAACCCATGAGAGTTATCTACAGTTAGCATTTGTGTTGAAGTAAAGTTGCACTAATTGTATGTAGAGCTGTAGGAGGATGATTTAGATCATATGAAACTGTGAAGGGAAGAGAATATACTGGTATGAAAGAACTTATTTAAGAGTCAATGCTACAAATATTTCAAGTAATACTTAGGAGAGAAAGAACCTTAACTTCAATTTCATTGAGGATAGTGAAAATCTATCTCAGTAGTGTTCAAGATGATACCAGATTGCAAAAGGAATGGAAGGAAGAGATGGTGAGAAAAATGAAGGCAGCTGGCATACATCATATCTTCTAGGGGTCTGGCAATGAAGAAAAATAGAGAAAAACTTCCTAAAATATTGGGATGAAATTTACTTAATTGCATTTTGGCATGTTCTTGAGGCTTTTTAACTTCTCATCTGTGGTTTGTCAGAAGTAAAGACAGCTTTTCACATTTCCTGTCTTTTCAAATTTGGCTTCCAAGCCATATTGAGGATGGAGTTATCTTCAAATTTCAGGGGTGTAATGTTGCATATTGGACCACAGATGCTCCTCAATTCTGTGAAGCTTTTTCATTATTTTGATTTCTTTTTCCCTATAAAAGTTTGTATTTCACCCTCCTCATTTTTACCTCAGTTGTTAGAGGCTGCCACAGTGAGCTCTAAATTATCTGGCAGATGATACTCACGGATGACTTTCAGAGAATTCCTAGATTACAAGGACATATACTTTTTCCCTACTTCCTTGAATAATTTACATTCTTTGGCTTCTCTGACCCATGACAGTGGGCCCTGAAGGAGACCCAAATCTAACCTGAGATGTGATCTCCAGGGAAAACTGAACCATCGGGGAAGGCTCAGTTGTGGACAGCCTGTGTCCTAAGATGAAAAAGAGGGCCACTGGTACAGAAACAACTTGAGCAGAACTTCCTTGAAAAGCCATCAAATTCTAATAACAAAAGGAAAAGGAAAAAGGCCCCCATAGAAGCTAAGGACTTTCCAAAGTATAATGCCAATTTCTAAAAAATATATATTTTATTGCGTTTTAGGTTCTGGGGTACATGTGAAGAACATGCAGGACTGTTGCATAGGTACACACATGGCAATGTGGTTTGCTGCCTCCATCCCCGTCACCTATATCTGGCATTTCTCCCCATGTTATCCCTCCCCAACTCCCTAACCCCCACTGTCCCTCCCTTAGTCCCCCCCTACAGACTTCAGTGTGTGATGCTCCCTGCCCTGTGTCCATATGTTCTCATTGTTCAACACCCGCCTATGAGTGAGAACATGAAGTGTTTGATTTTCTGTTCTTGTGTCAATTTGCTGAGAATGATGGTTTCCAGATTCATCCATGTCCCTACAAAGGCCATAAACTCATCGCTTTTTATGGCCACATAGTATTCCATGGTGTATATGTGCCACATTTCTGCTGTCCAGTCTATCATGGATGGGCATTTGGGCTGGTTCCAAGTCTTTGCTATTGTAAACAGTGCTGCAATGAACATACGTGTGCATGTGTCCTTATAATAGAACAATTTATAATCCTTTGGATATATACCCAGTATATCCTACTTTATGTGGTCAAAGGTTGATTCTTCCTTCACCAGATCAAAAAAAAATGGCTTAATTTAAAATCTGAAATCAAATTTTAGTTATATAAACTATAAATAATTTGCCTTTCAAAACTTTAGAACATTATCCCAGTTAATTAAATTTTTCTATTTGACATCAAAGGCAATTTAAGCTAATTTTCATTGGATCATTTATTGTTATTTTTTGCAGTGTATTAGTTAACAACTGTTATATAATAAATTACCCCAAAACTTAATGGCTTAAAACATTAAACATATACTAGCTCATAGTTTTTGTGGGTTAGGAATCTGGGTGCTGGATGACTAGTGCTCAGGGTCCTTCCCAAGACTGCCTTCAAGTTGTCAACCAGGATTGTAGTCATCTTAATGCTCACATTTGTGACTATCCAATTGTAAGCCCACTTACTTGGTTCAAGTCCTTGACATCTGCTGGCTGGAGACCACTTGTTTGTCTTGTGGGCCTCTCCACAGGGGAGTTCACAACATGGCAACAGTCTCCCTAGTTAGTGTAAACAAGCCCAAGAAGTTAATTTGCCATATTCTAATTATTAGATGTAAATGAATAGGCTCGAGGCGAGGGAATTACACAAGGACATGTATCCTAGGAGGTGGGATCATAAGAAACGATTTTACATGCTGCCTACCACTCATGTAATATCCTAGTATAATAAAATCCTAAGCTCTTACTAATGAGGGTATTTTACTTTTTAGTTTTAATTCATGAAACATACATTGTCCAACAGAGAAAGTGAGTTACAATTTTAATTTGATAAGGAGGAACCATAAGAAAAAATAAGACTTGTGGAAGTGTTCTTTTTTGCCCCTTCTTGGCTTTTGTTTGCAAAAATTTATGAAAAATTTCCAGCAGTAAAAGTTTAAAATATTAACAAAATTATATATAACTTTATGTTTTAAATGCAAATATTCATTTGTATTTCCTACATAAGTAACCAGATTTTTAAAAATCTACTATAGACACTGTAAACATAAAATTTCATATTTAAAATATATTAAATAAAATAATTTATTTCAAAATTTTAATTTTATAATGTTTTGATATTTTATTTTTAGGCTAGTTATGACATTGGCTTTTTTGATCAGGAAACAGGAAATAAGTGATATTAAAGACAGAAAATCATGCATGGATCTATAAATATAACATGAATTTAACTTCTCAGTATTCCTGACACGTTTTTCTTCTAAAATGGAAGTAAATTGCAACCAAATAAAACCTTATATTTTTGTATAAAATATTTTAATACTTTGCCTACTGCAAAAATATATGTATCTTATGAACCAAAATTTCAGTTTTCTATACTTCTAGTGAATAGAGATATATATTTATATACGGCATCATAGATTTATAGCTGGCCTTGGACATCCTTTAGTCCTAGGTTCGTACTATGTATCTAATTAAACTGAAGCACAGAGGCATCAAGTGAAATGCTAAAAGCTACACCTAAGTAGCTGAAGTAAATCCATAATGTAAATATTCACTTTAAGTACATGCATACTTACTACACTTTAAAAAACCTTGAAATCTTGTCATCATTGAAATTTTCTGCAGATACTTTGCATAGAATCACAGGGCCAGAATAATTTTTAATTTTATTTACTTAGTCTATGCCTTGTCATCACAAATCTGAGAATGGAGTTAAAAATCACAGCCTGTAAGATTCTTTCATTCTATTTTTGGAGCCAATGAAGTTTTTTATATTTGGCACGTCCTCTCTCAAATGCTTGAAATTGGGTAACGCTGTTCCTCTGAGGGGAGGTTGAATATCATAGAGGTTATCTTATGAAACCTCATCATTTTTATAATGCCATGATATATAGACACTTAGATGGGGAGTTCAGAAGAGTAAAATAAGGTCAATTAGAAAGGTATATTCATGTTCATGTAAGAGATGATGGTGACATTGATTGAGGTTATAATCATGGGGATGAAAATGCTTTTTGTTAATGTCATTATCCTAATCAAAAAACTTCAGTACTATCCTATTCACCTTTTTTAAAGGCCAAACTTCTTTAAATTTAACTTTTATAAATGTTGTTGAGAAATTGCAGTATTTTTCTTTTCATAGAC